CATTGGAAATTCGGAATATTTGTAGATTTTCAAAAAAATAATCGAATTCCGGATTTTTAGTGTTTTCTGGAATTTAAATATCGTAAGTTTCCAATAGTTTATTATGCGAATTCAAAAAAAAGTGTGCATAAAAATTCGAAAATCATAAAAAACCCGAGAAAAATAGTAATAGAGGTAGAGTGTCAAAAAAAGTGTCATTTTTGCATAAAAAAGGAGAAATTTTATAAAAAATAGATCAGAAAAATATTTCCAAGTCATCCGGACTGCCAACTGGTTCACTTGCTCCTGTTCCAGAAGAATTTGAATTCTGAGCCTGAGCCTGCCCAGAAGATCCCTGTTGTGTATTTTGGGAATATCCTCCAAAATTGAAAGGAAGTCCAAATTGTTGTCCCTGTTGTCCCATTTGTGGAATTTGTCCCTGTTGTCCCATCCCTTGATAGAATTGATGTTGTTGGGACATCTGGACACGCGGATGTTGGGGAGATTCCTTTTTTGAGCTGCTCTTCATTTTCTTGGATTGCGGACGAAATTTGTAGTCTGGGTGGTTCTGGAAAATTGGATTTTTTGAAACTTGAATTTTTTTATTGAGATTTTTCAACTAAAAAATTTGGAACTTCCAGAAAAGTGAAATTTCCAAATTTTCAAAATCTTTGAAAAATTTAGATCAATTTACCGTAAAATCTGTAATAGAAGGACCCCCAGACTACAAACTTTGACCTAATTTATCTCGGTTACTGTAAAAGATATCAAACATGTTCCAACTAATCAAATATTAATGATATTAAAATCAACAATTTATCAGTTGTCTCATTTTTGATACCTCTTACAGTTACCGAGATAAATGGGCTCAAAGTTGAAGGTTAGGGGACCCTTCTATTGCAGGTTTACAGTAATCTAGGTTCTTTTCTAAGAGGATTTCTAAAATTTCGAATTTTCCGAGAATTGAAAATTTGAGTTCCAATTTTTTGGAAGTTTCAAATTTTCAATTTTTCAAAAACTTAAAAAATCGTAGTGCTCAAATATCCATTAAAAATGAGTACCAAAAAAGCCAAATTTTCTTCATTCAAACTTTTATTTTTGATTTGAGAATGCGATTTTTAGAATCATAGTATTTGAAAACCCCAGAATAACATTTTTAAGATTCTGAAAACCTTATTTTAGAGCGGAAAAATGCGATAAAATGCAACTTGGGTCTGCTAATTGTTATTCTGTAT